GGGGAGAGGGGCCGCCTCCCCCCCGGGGCTGCGGAGCGAAAGGAATAAGCGCGTAAAAGCTTTTACGACGGGTTTAATTCCGTTTTCTTACGTCGTGCTGGCAAAGGTTGCGCTTAACAGTTTGGGTTTGTTGTTGGGTTTGTTTAAAATTTATCGGTTTCCCCTCATTTCTTCGTTCCAGTGGCAGTGCCTATGGAAAGGCGTGAGGCTAACGCTAAGATTCTTTTATTTATTTTTTTTTTGGGGAAGCGAAGCCCTGTAGCGCTAACCCTGGTTCAGGGATTTAAGGAGCTCGGTGGCAGTAGGGCACTCAAATAGCATCCTTCTGCCACCGCCGCGACCGGGCCGGGACCCGCAAGGTCGTTGTTTACCAGTCCGGCTACAGAAGTACAAATTTGGGATTTTTACTGGGAATAAATGAAGGTGAGAACAACCAGGCCTCAGGAATTTTTTAAAACAAAACACCCAAAACCCTAAAACCCTCCTAGCTGAAGGATTGAGCCCATCCACAAAGTTTCAAAATAAACCTTTCTTTTTTTTTTTTTAAAAAAAAAATCATTAGCTTTTCAAACATTTGCATGTTTAAATTTGCAAATGTTTGTGGGAGCCCAGAAAGACTTAAAACACAGCTGTTGGCGTGATGCGGCTGGGAAAACTCCCTCCGATTTAAAAAAAAAACCAAAAAACAAAACCCCAAAGACTCATCTGTAGGTAGGTAGCAAACGTTTGGTTTCGTAGGGAATCCTAAAATATTCTTGTGGGGTTATTTTCTTGAAGCCACGTCACCTTGGCACCCAGGTGCTCTGGTCCCAACTGTAAAATTCCCGGGCAAGAAGAGTGTGGCTACAGAAAGCCTTTAGAAAGCCCTTTAGGGCAAATACGGTGTAAAGTAGCCACCGCGTTCGAATAAAGTGCCTTAGCAGCACAAGATGGATTTTTATGGGGACAAACCAGTACTTTCTTACGGAAAATAAACTTGTTGAGCAAATCGGCGGTAGCGTTGCTTGACAAAAATTATCATTTAATAACGCGCAAGCCAATTACGTGCGCAGGAGCTTTTAAAGGCAAATCGGCAAGGAGCCAAATTCCTATAGGGACTAGGAGGGGAAACGATCAAAAAATGAACGTGAAATAAGACTTCCTGTAAGAAGGTCCATAATTCAACATTATTTGACTCCACTGTCAGGGAAATTGTTGAAGGATAGTAAACTGATACTGGAGTCGCAGTCGTTTTTGTTACAGCCTTAAATGTTTGCAACTGTGGCGTTTTAGATGGCCCTTCTTGGGCGATAGTATATCATATATATATATGTATATAATAAAGCAACACTTCTAGTTATGTTGCAATAGATTTATTTTTTTTAACGCGCGCGGTTGCAGAGTTTCTCTAAACAAAATGCGGAGAGACGGCAGCTTTTAAATTTTTTTTTTTTTAAAAATGGAAAAATTACTTCTTGGAAAAGAAAGAATCATAAACTGGAACGCAATATGTAGCGTAGCTGAAGGTGGATGGGTTGTTTAGGGCATCGACCAGTTGTGACGGGACTAACTTTCCCAAATACTTCAAATATATCAGCTACACCTTGCAGCCAATGCAAAAATAATGCGTTGGAGGGGGGGAAATCATACCAAGAAATGCTGTTTTACTTGGGGACTTCTTTGCAGGTATTTTGGAACCGTGTATGGTTTTAGGTGGGGAGGAACTAAGAATATTGCTGCCTTTGGTGTATTTACTCCCATATTGGAGGAAAAGGCATCAAAATAATAGATGCAGCGCAGAGGGTGCAGGTAGAACTCCTTTCTGCGTAATAAAAGAGTTACAGCCCCGTCGGGCTTTGAGGAGGACCAACAAAATAACATTTTAAAGACTCAAAATTTAATTTTCTGCCGCTGACTTTATGCCACCTTGAGCCAGTGAACCCTTTTTTGTTTGTTTTCGGGTAATTTGTTGTTGTTGTTGTTGTTGTTGCGGTGATATTTAGGAGTTGTTCCCACGGCCAAGTTTGACAGACTCGTTAATGTAGAGATAGAAAGCGGTAATTTATATTCTGGACCTGTTCTCATCCGAAACTCTGTGGCTGAAATTGTATTAGCAAAATAAGGTTTTCTTCGCTCTCCGTTTCTTTAAGCCAGTAAATACGTTGTTAAGTAGATCTGAGATGGAATATGTTTTCTTCAATTCAGGAATCTTTGCGGGTTTGGGCTGTTTGGTTTTTGGGGTTTTTTTTTAATTAAATGATTCAAGAGCCCAAAACGGCTCTGTCCTTTCAGCGGGGTATGATATTTGTTGCTTTCCTTAAGTTTGCCCGACTTCTGTGTGAAGCTTTTCAAACTAAAGTTCCCTTCTGTTGCAAAGGATGCTTTAATTTCCTAAATTTTTTTGGCGTCCTTGTCGATAACCAAAC